AAAATGTTCATTTTGGGGTGGAGTATCCCTTTAAGTTTAATCAGAGTATAATAATAATAATCATCATCATCATTTCATATTTTTATTAATTATTATCATTTATGCAATGCTGAATCAAATTATTTCTTTCTAAAGCTACTTTTTGTAATGTCTATTCAATGATTTACTCGTCTAAAACAATAATGACTATCTTTCGGAGAGTAAATTCTCAGCGAAAATTGATTTGCAAGATTACAAAATGTAATTGCTTGACAGCCCCTAAATATAATACTTAACATAATATACAAAATAAAGTTTGTAGTGTGCAAATAATAGACTTAAATCCAAAGAGTATCAATTAAAATCATTATCTGTATCAATTATCTGATTTCCACCCTACCTTCACACCATCTGTCTTCTTGCTGATCCCACTTTTTCCTCCTGAATGAGAGACAAAGAAAAAGAGCGAAATTGCTATAAGAAAGGGCACAAAAGCCCAGAAAAGCATAGTGACGGGCATAGCACTGCTCGGCTCTCCAGCTGGAGTTGGGCTCTGGAGCATCTGTTGACTTTCTAAAATAGGGGTTGGGAGTTTCCAGCATGCATAATCACATACTCCCACACTCCAGGAAGGCTTCGCTTTTAAAAGCTGCTCTGAACAAACAATCAGGAACAGTGAGCAAATATCAAATGTTAAAAAATATCTTCATTAAAAAATATGCATGTAGTTTAAAAAAAAAAAAAAGCATACAAGAATTAGTCCAAAAATAGAAGATGCATTACCTTTCATTATTTTTATTAAAAACCTGTATCACAATTTAAATGTTCACATAATAATGGACAAAGAGATTAACTAAAACCTAAAAGTGCACTGCTGACTCAAGCCGGTATGTTTCCGCTGGACATTATCTTAAAGCATTTAGTGGAGAATGACCACTCTGGGTAAAAATAGACAGGATGTGATGAATGATCAAGAGTGTTTGGGAGTGATAGAACGGCCTGTGCAAAAGCTACGGCTGCTACACTTGAACAGGTGGAGCAATCTATTTTAGATCAGTCATTGCTGACCTTTTACAGACCCTCACCCGCATGACACCCACACGAGGAACAGAATTTTTAAAAAAGAAAATAGGATCAGATTAACGAATCGGGATGCCCCGAGTCCATGATCTCCTACCATTTGAAAACATTTTTACTGACATGCATGGTGCCTACATAAAAATAAAATAAAATAAGATCGTATATCAAGCAAATGCAACTTCATTTCAACAGTGTGGCCTTATGAAGTGAAACGATCGGCCTTTACAGGAAACTGAACATTATTTACAACATTATTGGTAAAAAAATCTTCTTTACTGTTTTACTGAAGAAAAAAGTCACCTATATCTTAAGGTCAAGTAAATTTACATTTTTACATTTACCTTTGTAATGGCGAAATTACGTGGGCAAAATCTCAATCAGAAGGCTCAAGTTTTTTGTATTTTGGACACACTTTGAACATTCAAATTCGCTGCATTTACCAATATAGAACCAACGGACAATGGAAGGAATTTCATCGAAGCTTCACTAATGTGACCTACAAATGTACCTAAAGAACAACTGCATCATCTTCATCTTGCAAATGCAAACTGTCCATGGTTTGGGCCATATATCATCTTTGCGTTATGAATGCTGAGAGAATTATACATGCTGGGATTTTAAAGCCTTGGCCAGTGGCAAAGGTCTCCCATGTTGTGTCTTTAAATCCTGACACGACCAATTGAAGTACAAACCTGTCAAAGATTTACACCAAGAACGATAACTATAATAAAGATAAAAAATAATCACAAGCATCCACAGCAACGCTAGATTCTGTTCTGTTCATTATAAGCATGGGGTAGCTCTGAACGCTCAATGGACCCACATTGTGGAACTGCTGCGACCACTCATATTCAAATAAACTAACATTAAAGTAGACTGATCTCTCTCTAGCTGAATCAGAGTTTACACAGTAAGGTGCTTATATAATAAAACTTGTGATCATTCACTTCAGTTTTCGCCCACTATTGTTCTTCGCTGATGAAGTCTTGCCATGCTTTTTGTCTGCAGTCATAATCCTAAAGACTGTTGTTCTTAAAACACCAAACAACTGGGCTGTTAAGGTTACAGACGCTCCTGCTAAACAGGCTTCTGTGATTTGTTCTGACAAATTCTGACTTGTACTAAACACTGCTGAATTCACAACATAACTTGTCTTCAATTATAGCCTACAAATGATATTAATCCCTACAATAATGTGCATTTACTTTATTTTGCCCAGCCCTTCTTAAGCTAAATTGGGTAGGATGACATGGCTTGGATAGACGTGCCAATACTTTGAATTTGTTTTATCAAATTTCCAAATGCTTGGAAATGCCAGACTCATAAGCATCAACCATCTTTCAGTAGAAGGTGTCAAACACAACTTCACAGAGTCATCAAGCCTCTGTACAAACCTTCAGTGCACCGTGAATCCAGACAATTCCAGTGTAAGATAATCTGTGGTTCCTGATCAAGACATACTGTACTCAAGCAGATTAGATTCGATTAGATAGATTATTAGAGTTACCTGAGAAGTTTCTGGTGACCAGCATAGTAGTGAGGATAGCACCCTTTAAAAAAACAACAACAACAACAAAACAGAGGATCTTTTAGCAAATGGTGTATTGCTATGCAAAATTCAGAATTGATGAACTGGCTCCCTTTTAGTTCATTAGTTGGAATTTGAATTGAATCTACACCACAGGAAATTTAAACGGAATGACAGCAAGAGGAATTAAAGAACTGCAATTAAAAATATTTAATTCATTCAGGAAAATTATGCGTTCTTCCACCTTGGTACATAAATGTTTTATTTCTCTAATAAATACGGTGAATGTACAAATTTCTTCAGATGACATTTCTATCTGTCCTTAAGGTCTTTAAACTTTATTTGACCTTTTTTATTTATCTTTTTCAAACAAACATTTATCAAACTAACATTCAAAGTTTGTCTTTTCGAATTACAAATGAATGAATAAATAAATGTCTATTTTTTACTCCAAACATTCAAATTCGAATTGCAATTCTGCATCTCGTTTGCTACTTCTGTTCAAATTCTGGAACGGAATTAGAATTCAAAAGGCATCCTTGATTCAGTTCAGAACGGTGTACAACTGTGATTGTTAAGAACTCCAAATAGCCTGATTTTCATCCATAATTTATTAAAGTGAAGTGTGTCACTCGGGGCATGATTATTATTATTATTATTCATGGAACAACTCTTGTAGGGTTTAAACCTGCAACCTTTAAGTTACCAGCCCAGAACTTTAAATGCAACTCACAGAAGAGCTTCTCACAACCGTATACAAACTTACCTTGAGCTTTCTTCTAGCGTTGAACTTCTTCAAGCATTCGACAGTCTCCTGTCTGTGCATGCAAGATGCAACAGTGGAGCGATGCTAAAAGAGGTGAAACGAGAGGTTATTTGGAGAACATTAGTTCTGCAGACATTTCCAGAACATGTAATCCCTATATAATAAAAGAACTTTGAGAAATTTGATAAATATTTACTCAAGTATAGTGAAACATGAGCAGAGCAAATTAATGTGTACAGTAAAGACTTGTTAACACACAGTGAATGCTACAGTAACTATAAAGATAATTATAACAACAACTAGGGTTCATTCATTTGCTGACTAAATTAACTGAATTCAAATGTACATATAAGTGATCCAAAGCAATAATATATTAACTAGGCCCTAAGATAAAACGCATATGTATGTTGTAAAGTACTGATGAGTACTGTGAGTTGTGAACTCACTGAGATCCATGGGTGCTTGAGTGCCTCCGCAGCAGTGATGCGTTTAGATGGGTTGATGGTCAGCATCTTATTAATAAGATCTTTCGCCTCAGGGGTGACTGTGTCCCACTCAGGTGAAGGAAACTGTGGGTGTAACAAAGTGATCCAAGTGTGAATCAGACATCCATTAGCACTTCTGGCATTGTCATCAATATTATATGAAGGATGCATAAACTGACATCGTAGGCGCCAGCTTTAATTTGCTGATAGAGTCTATGCTGGTCTTCATCCCAAAAGGGTGGGTATCCAACCAGCAGGATGTAGAGAATCACACCTAAAGGAAATGAAGTTAGGAGAAATGATTTCACAATACTCTTAACGAATTAACAACTTTGATCTGTGCAATACTGGTGCCATTGTGCAAGCTAAGGGAAGACCAAGGAGTGCTATAACTTTTATTATTATTATGCATTTACTTATTTATTTATTTGACTATGTGTCTCAATTGTGCAGTTGTGGTTTTTCTGTACTTTGAAAATGCATTCGCGGGAAAGATTACAGAGCTATATAGGTTGTGATTTTGGGCTACTTTTACAATGTACCACGGCTGCTCAAACATATATAAAAAATAGATCATTTTACTAAAATGTATTGATCCTTGCAATACAGAACATAGAATAAAACAAATAAAAACATTTATTTCACAGCTGTCAACAATGATTGGACAAAGAGGAAAAAACTGGGCAAGTTTTTATTCCTTTTGGGTGAGTTTTGAGTCAGCTTTGGGCTGGAAATTTTTCTGGGAGCTGGCAACCCTGCATTTAACATGTGCATTAATAGAGTGCTGGTTCTTCCATTCTGCTCTTCTAAATACTGACTGCAGAGATTTGCTCCCATTTAGACACAAGAGCATCAAGGCACTGATGTTGGGTTGATGTGGCTTGGCTTGATGATGGCAAAATGTGTTCCACACCAGACTCAGTAAACCATTTCTTAATGGATCTCACTTTGTGCACGAGGCTTTTGTCATCCCAGAACAGAAAAGGACCTCCTCAAACAAATTGGGAAAACCCTTTTCTCTAAAATGTCACAGTGCATACTGTTGCTACACAAAATGAAAGAGTGGATCTTCATGACGAGTGCATTAGTGATCACATTTGTGATGTAATTCTACCTTAAAACACATACGACATTAACACATATCAATGTTTAATGCAAAAATATGAAAAAACTAACCACATGCCCACAGGTCTACAGCTTTTCCATAGGGGTCCTTCCGTAAGACTTCTGGGGACAGGTAACCAGGAGTGCCAGCAAACCCTGATGTGAAGAAAAAAAAATCATAACTTTTAATTGAGTCTATATTTATGAAACTGAAAATGAGCTAAATGTGAAAAAAGACAAACACAATGTGATAATTACATCTGTACTTAAATAACAGAATTCACGAATACACTATTATAAGAACAACTTAAGTCTCCAGTCACTCTTAAGGACCCCATGAAATCAATACCTGGTCTGGAGATGGTTTTGATCAGGGTTAGAGATCACAGACTGAAATGATTTGATCAATCAGCTTTGAGCAAATGTATCTTTCTTGAGCCAGAGACACAGGGGGAGTGACTTTATGGTGTTAAAGCGGTTCAGTTCAAAAAATGTAGAAGAATTGCCTGGCTTTTGCTGATGATTATTTATTGTGTTTATATTATATACACTCTCAGAAAAAAAGGTACAAAAGTTATCACTGAGGCGGTACCTTTTCAAAAGGCACACATTTGTACCTAAAGAGTCCATATTGGTACCTTAAAGTGTACATATTAGTACCTAAAGTGTACATATTAGTACCTAAAGTGTACATATTAGTACCTAAAAGGTACAAAAGTGTAGCTTTTGAAAAGGTACCACCCCAGTGACAGCTTTTGTACCTTTTTTTCTGAGAGTGTAGGAATAGATTTTTATTACAAGCCTTTAATTTAAATGAATATTCACATTTAAATACAGTAAGGTCTAAAATTGATGTTTAAAGCTTTTTAAAATACTAAGATTGTCAATCTGTACAGTATATAAATTCTGAAACCGCTGAACCAGGCGAGTTAAACCAGACTGTATTTGTTTGGTTTTGTCAACTCTAAACCTACTCTGAAGAAATGAAAGAATAATATGCACATTAGAATGAAACAGGGGATTGTATAAATAAGAATTAAGATTCCTAAGAATTCAAATGATTGAAAATAATGTTCTAAAAATCATCACAAAACAACATTATTTAAAATACTGAGCACTGCAGCATAACACTAGCTACATATAATATATATATTATCACTACTGTACAAGATTTTACTTTCATAATCTAGCAAGTAAATTAATGGCAGGAAATGTCATTAAAGGCAGGGTATGTGATTTTTCAAAAACACTTTAGAAATAAATCTCACACACTTTACATTCAAAATTAGATTGTTTAAACAGTGTAAGGTTTTGAATTTGTTGTACTAGACACAGCAATATGTATGATATACACTCACTGGGCACTTTATTAGGTTCACCTGTTCAACAGCTTGTTAATGCAAATATCTCATCAGCCAATCACATGGCAGCAACTCAATGCATTTAGGTGTGTAGACATGGAAAAACAATCTGCTGAAGTTCAAACCGAACATCAGAATGAGGAAGAAAGTTCATTTAAGTGACTTTGAACGTGGCATGATTTTTGGTGCCAGACGGGTTGGTCTGAGTATTTCAGAAACTGCTGATCTACTGGGAGTTTGACATGTAAACCATCTCTAGGATCTACAGAGAATGGTCTGAAAAAGAGAAAATATCCAGTAAGCGGCAGTACTGTGGGCGAAAATGCCTTGTTGATGCCAGAGGTCAGAGGAGAATGGCCAGACTGGTTTGAGCTGATAGAAAGACAACAGTAACTCAAAAAAAAGGTATAAAGAAGAGCATATCTGAACACACAACACGTCAAACCTCGAAGCAGATGGGCTTCAACAGCATGAAGAACACACTGGGTGCCACTCCTGTCAGCTAAGAACTGAAAACTCAAGCTACAATTCACATGGGCTCACCAAAACTGCACAATAGAAGATTGGAAAAAGGTTGCCAGGTCTAATGAGTCTTGATTTCTGCAGTGACATTCAGATGGGTCAGAATTGAAACAACATGAAAGCATGGATCCATCCTGTCTTGCATCAACGGTTCAGGCTGCTGGTTCTGGTGTAACGGTGTGAGGGATATTTTCTTGGCACAATTTTGGCCGCTTCATACCAAATGTGCATTGTTTAAATGCCATAGCCTACCTGAGTATTGCTGCTGACCATGTCCATCGCTTTATCACCGCAGCATAACCATCTTGTAATAGCTACTTCCAGCTGGATAAAGTGCCATGTCGCAAAGCTCAAATCATCTCAAACTTGAGCTCAGTGAATTCAAATGGCCTCCAGAGTCACCAGATCACAATCCAATAGAGCACCTCTGGGATGTGGTTGAACAGGAGATTCACATCATGGATGAGCAACCGACAAATCTGCAGCAACTGCGTGATGTCAATATGTCAATATGGATCAAAATCTCTGAGGAATGTTTCCAGAACCATGTTGAATCTACTGTATGCTAGTTCTGAAGGCAAAAGAGTGTCCAACCCAGTAATAACAAGGTGTACCTAATAAAGTGGCCAACAGTGAGGGTATAATCAGACAACATCAAAGACTGTCATTTTATTTAAATAATTGAGAATTGCATACATATTGCATATACGCACTCTTCCAGCCAGGTAACATACACAAGCAACAATCACACAGGCCACTCAGCCTATCAACAAGGAAACCTCCTCTTGATAAAAAGCGCCCTGTCCCTGAATTATGTAATGTAATGCCTCACTTTCAGGCAAATGTTTCTGAGCCACATAAAATTAGGGGTCTTGAGGTGGGTAGAGTAACCAAATACTGGACTCAAATGAAAGTACAAGTACTTATTAGAAATAATTACTCAAGTAGAAGAAAAAGTAATGATGATAGTAACTACTTGAGTAACAGTAAAAAGTATCAAATGAAGACTACTTAGGTAGTTCTGTAGATCTGATTCAGAACATGCAATGTAATGAAGGTGAAGTCAATTAAGCATATATTACATGAGGGATGTTTTGTCTCCATTATGTGTGAAAGAGTGTGAGGTGTGTTGAAATCCACTGAAATCTGAACAACATGGCGGTAAGGCCCAATGATATGCACATCAAAACATACATCCAGAGAGGCAGAGCTTAAGTTCACATATCAACAGCTAATGACACAGCACTGAAGTGACTCATATGAAAGAGAACATAAATTCATATGGTTTTGTGTGTGTGTGTGTGTGTGCGTGTGTGTGTGTGTGTGTGTAAAATGCATAAAGATTAAAATCAGAACCAAAAACAGGTGAAACTATTAAAAATCATTTAAAAGTGAAAAGAATGGCACTGCTTTTCATATACTTAATACGGTAACACTTTAGGAACCAATTCTCACTATTAACTATTTGCTTATTAGCATGCATATTACTAGCATATTGGCTGATTATTAGTACTTATAAAGCACATGTTAATGCCTTATTCTGCATGAGCATATTTTAGATCCCTTAATCCTACCCCATACCTAACTTAACAACTATTAATAAGCAGCAAATTACGAGTCTATTGAGGCAAAAGTCAATAGCTAGTTATTAGTGAGAACTGGTCCCCAAACTTAAGTGTGACTGTTAATATATAAATACATCTTTGGAGTGTTAATCTATGTTTTGTGCAATTCTATATTAATGCTGTTTGGTGGTATAATAAATGGGTCGTTACCAAACCAAGCCTGTTGTTCCCCTTCAACCTCAATGGCAAGGCCGAAGTCTGCTAACTTCACAGCTGCACCTTTGGATTTGGAAGCCAGAAGCAGGTTCTCTGGCTAGAAACATGGAAACGAATGGGACAAAAAGGGAAAAAGATTCATGGATAAAGTGCTAATGAACATGTAGTTGTTTTTTCCTCCAACATATAAGAACATACAAATATTGGAGTGGTATTTCACTAAAGTTATTTGTTCAAAAGCCAATTGGAATGTACATTTTGAAATTATTTGTACACCTCACATAAAAAGATACACCCATTACTTGTGTGGAAAATGTTAGCACTTTCACATCAAATGCTTAAAATTAGAATCAGCGCACAAGTTTGTATAATCAAGTGTAAACTAGTAGAACATCTTTAAAACATTATACAAACCAGGTCTAAACTTATGCAAACTGGACTGTTTCAATTAGAATTATGGTAGTGCCATGTCTTTATATTCTCTTGGGGTTAATTCTGTAAATTGTGTTGCCTCAATGTTATTAGACATTATTAGATGCAGCTTTTTCGATACTATTAATTATGTTATCTTAATTGTACATTTCAGGCAGTGCATTGGCATTCAGAGCTTGGTCCTAAGTGTTTCCTCTATTATTTAGAGCATAGAACATTTTCACTTATGTTCAACTGATGTTCCAGTGGTAGAGCATTGCGTTAGCAGCACAAAAGGTCATGGGTTCGATTCCCAGGGAACACACATACTGGTAAAAAATGTATAGCCTGAATGCACTGTAAGTCGCTTTGGATAAAAGCGTCTGCTAAATGCATAAATAATTAAATTATTATTAATTATAATTAATTACTTAGAATGAAGAATTGCTTATCATCACCTGTCCACATCAGATGTGGGGTGCCCCAAGGCTTGGTCTTAGGACCGACCTGTTGTATTGTCTTTATATATTCTCTCATTTGAGACAATTAAAAAAATTGAAGCATGGTGATCTTTTTTTTAAAAAAATGTTTTAAATCCCTTCATGACCTTTTGGCTGATGCTAAATGTTGTTTAGTGAATAACTTTCTTCCAGCTAAATTTCTTTCGTTCTTTTTGGTCAGAATGGATGTGGTAACACTGATGTTTCTGTTTTGAGTCTCTGCAGTGGTAATAAGCATTCCAATGTTAAAAATATTGTCATTTTTGATTTGGGTCTGTAAAATTTTTTCCATTTCCAAATGTCCCAAAACTGAAATCTGTCCTCGCTTTTAACGATTTTGAGAAAATTACCCATGCTTTCATGTCATCCTATCTGAACTACTGAAATGCTCTGTACTTGAGCAGCTTGGGCAAAATGTTTCTTTGAGGCTGTTAACAAATACCACAAAACCACCTGTGCTGACCTTTTTTACACTAACTACAGATAACCTCTATGTCAATTCAAACTGTTCAGAGACTGATTTGATCCAAGGTTATAAGAAATGATATTAGTACTACAATCATATTGTACTGCATTGTATTACACATAAGTAATAGTTTTTTGACCACTTTTCATTAAAAAAATCCTTGTGCGTGTGGCTGCTTCATTCTACATTCAGAGTTGACTATATATATATATATATATATATATGCCAAAACGCCAAAACTCTGCTTGTGGCTCTCACTACCAGTGTGAATGTAGTAACCTGTTAATAAGGACACCAAAATGATAATGTGCTGCTCACACAGTATATGTGAAATAGGCTAAAACATTTAAGGCAGAGAAGGTTTTAAAGAAGTAATCTATTAGTTAAACAAAATAACCTAGAGCCTAGTGCACTCCTCACTAGGGCAATTTGTGTGCATTTGAAATATTGGATGTTTCAGCATTGCATAATATATTTTTATGATAAGTTTGTGGTGTAATTATAACTGAAAGTTTGAGATTGTTTTGAAGCAAGTGTTCTGTCTGGGGGCCACAAAGAGACGAGAGTGCTAATGACAGAGGTTTAACATGAATTATAATGAAATACCTTTAAGTCTCTGTGCACAACGCCCATCTGATGGCAATGAAGTACTGCCTCCAAAATCTGCTGGATGCAATGGCTTCAGAGAGAGAGAGAGGAAAAAAGGTTTTACTCAAATACAGTACATTGGAATATGATAGGATTTCAACACATGACTATGTGATGTATATACAATATATCTGTCAGTTGTACACAGTCAATTTTATTTCTTTTGCTTGTTGTAGAATAATAAAAAGCTATATTCTGCATCACTAAATTAATGTTATGTAGTTTTGAAAATGACCGTTTTGGACAAATTTGTGAGTTATCTGGCTCTTGTCAAAGAGACTTAACTTTTGACTACTTAAGTTAGTGTGCTTTTATGTGTTTGCATATTGTCCATTATTTGTGTAATGCTTTTATACATACAATCCATTTGTGTTGTGCTGATTGCCCACCCACCTGGCATCTGCTTCGCTGTAATATTCCCTGGCAACAATGTCTTCAAACAGCTCACCACCCGTTACTCTGAACCACATGAATGAGCAAGAATGAGCAAATAATGCCACTAGTTAAAGTATTATTTGACTTAAGACAGTTGTTTTATGGGTGTTTCTTCAAATGTAGGAACTTCTGGCTCTGTGAACTTTTCACTTTTTCCCTTTTGAATAGTTGGCTTAATTGGTCTCCTAACAATTTCTAGCAGTGTATACCAGGGGTGTTTTCTCTGAGGAGGCAGGGGATGTGCCTCCCCAAAACTTTGGAAGAGAAACAACTGCACAGTACAGAAATAAATCAATCATATACTGTAGCAATTATGGGGCCAAGCACACCAGTGGATAAAATAAGATTGCATATGTGACCCTGGACCACAAAAGCAGTCTTAAGTCGCTGGGGTATATTTGTAGCAATAGCCAAAAATACATTGTATGGGTCAAAATGATTGATTTTTATTTTATGCCAAAAATCATTAGGATATTAAGTAAAGATCATGTTCCATGAAGATATTTTGTACATCTCCTACTGTAAATATATTAATACTTAATTTTTGATTTTGCATTGCTAAGAATTCATTTGGACAACTTTAAAGGCGATTTTCTCAATATTTTGATTATTTTGCACCCTCAGAGTCCAGATTTTCGAATAGTTGTTTCTCCTATTCTAACAAACCATACATCAATGGAAAGCTTATTTATTCAGCTTTCAGATTATGCATAAATCTCAATTTCGAAAAATTGACCCTTATGACTGGTTTTGTGGCCCAGGGTCACATATAAGTAATTTTTACATACAGTATATAATTTTAATGGTTTTTAAATAATAAAGGCTGCATTTCTTTGATAAAAAATACAGAAAAAAACAGAAATATTGTGAAATATTATTACAATTTAAAATAATGGTTTTCTATTTTAATATACTTTAAAATTTAATTTATTCTTGTGATGCAAAGCTGAATTTTCAGCATCATTACTCCAGTCTTCAGTCTCATGATCCTTCAGAAATCACTCTATGCTGATTTATTATCAATGTTGGAAACAGTTGTGATGCTTATTTTTTGGAACCTGTGATACTTTTCACAGGTTCGGAAGGGGGAAGTCGTGGCCTAATGGTTAGAGAGTCGGACTCGTAACCCAAAGGTTGCGGGTTCGAGTCTCGTACCGGCAGGGATTGTAGGTGGGGGGAGTGAATGTACAGCACTCTCTCCCACCTTCAATACCACGACTGAGGTGCCCTTGAGCAAGGCACTGAACCCCCAACTGCTCCCCGGGCGCCGCAGCATAAATGGCTGCCCACTGCTCCGGGTGTGTGTTCACGGTGTGTGTGTGTGTTCACTGCTGTGTGTGTGCACTTTGGATGGGTTAAACGCAGAGCACTAATTCCTAGTATGGGTAACCATACTTGGCCACATGTCACTTCACTTCACTTCACTACTTTTTTCAGGATCTATTGTTGAATAAAAAGTAAGCATTTATTCAAAATAGAAATCTTTTCTAACGATATACACAGCTGCTGTTTGAGTTTTATTTTATTTTTTTTATTTTTTTTAAATAATTTTTTTAAAGGATTGATAAAAAGTGTTAGTAAAGACTTATATTGCTAGCAAAGATTTGACTGGAGTAATGGCTGATGAAGATTCAGCTGTGCATCACAGAAATAAATTATATTTTAAAGTATATTCAAATAGAAAAACATTATTTTAAATTGTAATACTATTTCACAATATTACTGTTTTTTTTGTGTGCATTTTTGATCAAATAATGCACCCTTGATGAGAATAAGAGACTTCAAAAAAAACAAAAACAACAACAACATTACAGATCTTAAATATTACTGATCCCAAATTACATACAATAATTATTGCTATTTTTGACTAATAGGTGGCATTTTCACTAAAATCATTACATTTGTTAATGCATTAATGTCTCATTGTATTATTTTTATCCATACAATGAAAGTAAATAGAGTTTAATGATGCCTTAACTTTCAAAATAATTAGGATGGGAAGTGAGGGAGCGGCTTAGCAGTTACAAGGATCTTCGTTGTGGTTGCTATAATGTAAGTCTATATGGATTTTTGAGGAGTTTTGAATGTTTTAGGAAAACCAAAATTCAAATGAGTGAGACAAGATACTGGGTCAAAACAACCTGAATGTCTATGCTGAGTTTTAGTGTCAGAAGAAGAAGTAGCATATGCATAATAAATACAAAATCAGAATACTGGCTTTGTCAAGCCAACGTGGTAAAACATTTCCAAAGCAGTTTTAATGTGATTGTGATTAAAACTTTATTTTACTGTTTCCTTGTTACATATATTACATGCATTTGCTAAAGCATTAACACTAAATTATGTTATTCCAAGATACTTACAGTATAGTAACTACTTGTTAATTAATATTACTCAGTACTTATATGTAATTAAACTGTAACAAGGACGCAAGCTGAAATCTGTTACTTCTAATAAAAATCCCTGCGAGACTGAAATGCTTGAAGTTGCAGAAACACCCTTGTACTTCTTTTCAACCTCAAGCAATTTTAAGAAGACAATGGTTTTATGAAGGTGTCATACAGTAGGTACTGTAATTATTTCAATATGAAGAAAGATGTCTATTGTATCCACCCTGCGCTATAGCAAAAGATTACCCTTTATTACCATTTCCCCCACAAAACCTGACATTAGCAGAGGAACGCAAACGTATTTATCCATTTCTGAAAACAAATCATGTCTTTCACTCTCTTGGGCCTTTGTTAACCTACAGCAGCATTTGAGTTTATGTTTTGTACTATATTATAGTATAAAATCCTTTTATCTGGTATGGTTGGTCAGAGAAACTTACAAGTCAAAGATGAGGTAATGGTGACCTTCCTCTGAGATGCTGTCATGCAGCCGCACTGGTGAAGGATTGCCGATTGTGGTTTGGATTGAGAATAAAAAAAGAGAGATAACATGGTCACAGAGTCATTTTTGTTTCATTATTGTTTTCTTACATATACCATGCACTGCCTTGCAAGTATTCAGACTTGTTTCTGGAATTGTAAGACCACTGAGAACAGAGCTTTAAGCTTGAAGTCATTTGGCTGATTGGTATGCACCTCAACAGGCTCCTGGCACAAATTTAGCAAAAGAAAATGTATTAATTTAATCTAATTTAATATGTATGGATACCCGTTCAGAGTGATATCTTCAGATCACCGTGTTATAGAGACTAGATTTCACTCTGTTCACTCAAGTCAGCAAGTAGCCAGTATTACCATGGCAACTGCATAGCTACGCTCTAGTAACCATTCAGAGCAGACTAGCAACCGCATAACAACATGACCCAGTCATATCTCTGCAACAGAACATCAAAGAGACATGGGGCTGGTCTCGTTTAATGTAAAGCAATTTTGCCTGAGACTCATACACAGGTGTTACATTTACAATAAATGTGTAAAATATGAGGTTGTGACATTGTGGAGTAAAGTTCACAGCAATTTATGTGTATGTGTGTGTGTGTGTGTGTGTGTGTGTGTGTGGTGAACTTACCAATATTGGAGTGCTTCAGCAGTCGGCAGATCCTAGCCTCCCTGTCCAGCTTCTGGTGATCTAGAATATATATATAAAAACAGATTTTTCACATATATTTTTGAATGTTTTCAACATTTAAAATGGAAAATACAAAACAGTACATGAGCAAACAGCTGTTTTTACTATGCTGTGAAAAACACAAAATATACATCCCATGAAAATGGAGTTTCTTCATTTTAAAAGTTAATTTTTTTGGAGCACGGACCACCCGGCTATGGCCATTACCAATGTCAGTAGATAGATAAAAAATGGCTAAATAATTTAACAAATGACAGTTGAAATGTCCATTTTGTAATGATCTCAGCTTAAATGATCAGAAATTCTTGTTAAAAATCACCAAGTGCGGTATTTATTTTAATAATTTCACTAGGTGCCACCACTTCAACATAGGTTACTTCATAAGCCAAAATTCAAAGTCACTTGCATTAAAAGCTTTAAAATCCATTCCACAATATGTAAGACATTTGCTATTCCAACACCTATGAACAACATCTTAGCATCTTAAATGCAGCACAGGTTTCTACATTATTGGCAACATTTCCTTGAATGGTATTTTTGTGTACCATATATCCCAGGTCGAAAAAAGTGCATTTCCATAAAGTGCTCTATTTTCGCGCACTAATTGTGTACTTAATATACTAAAAATTATTCTTTAGTACTTCTTAAGATAAACTTAAGATCAACTAAGTGTTCTCAACTGTGTTATTTTGGGACTCCATGAATATGAATTAAAATGTGTTTTTAACATACTATCTCTGTATTTTTAACAAATTTATTTAGTTACCACTTGTAGTACACTTGAACCCATCTTTCATACACTAGTACACTCAAGTGTACTACAAGTGGTGACTAAATACTTTTTTTTTTTAATTAAAAAAATTAAAAATATTCATGGTGTCCCAAAATAGCACAGTTCAGTGTTTTTCCATTGTGTGAATAAAATGTAATCATGTAATCCATAAAAAGTAACTGTAATCTGATTATAAGCATTTTAAAATGTAATACAATCCAGTTACAAGTACTTACTTTTTTGGTTACACTTTATTTTAAGGTTTCCTAGTAAGTACATGTAACATGCGTAACAAGGACACCTTAAAATAAAGTGTTAGCACTTTTTAAATCTGATTATGTAATCAAGATTACATGTAATCAGTTATTACCCTGGGTCGATGAGAATTCACCCTCATTCAGCCATATTTTAAACAGTGTTGGGGGTAACGCATGACAAGTAACACGTGTTACATAATTAGATAACTTTTTTCCCAAGTAACTAGTAAAGCAACCCTTACAAAGAAATTGTAAAGAGTTACTTTTTCAAATAAGTAACACAAGTTACTTTGTTTTCCCATTTATTGACTGACAGCTCTTCACATGTTGAGAGAAACTGGAAGTGAAGTGCAGAGGCAGAGGCTCTTCTTTTAGCCTGAGGCTTATTAATTTCACTTTTGGTGTGAAACAGCCTTTTCAGTTGCCAAAAATATAATTTTTCTTGTTATTAAAAATAAATAATCAAGCCCAGCTCAGGTGAGAAAAAAGTAATGCAAAAGTAACGTAATGCATTACTTTCCATAAAAAGTAACTAAGTAACACAATTAGTTACTTTTTTATGGGGTAATGCAATATTGTAATGCGTTACGTTTAAAAGTTACTTTCCCCAACACTGATTTTAAATATTTGTAATATAGGCCAACAGCAGCTTCTCAGCATATACCCAATATTTGGAAAACACCCCAAGAGAAAACAGTGGATTCCCATGAAATTAACTGCGCTTTTCAAAAATACTACTCATATTTATACACATTATAATTCCCTCAAGATGATTTACCTATGCAGAAATGTTTGCTAAAGGTAAATATGCTCAGCATTAAGCAAGATTTGTTTTGTTTGTTTGTTTGTTTATTTGACAAAGAAAGTAGTGAATACACTCTATTCGTCAAGGATAACACAATAAAGTTTAAAACAAAACTTATTTCCATTGTGGTCCTTGATGTAAAGCACAAACTTCACTCCCGGTAACAGGTACACTGGCACTGCATTATAAATACAAAAATTACAATAAAATTCCACATCTACAAAAATGTACAGTCACAAATAACCACGTACGTAATACAAATTCATCAACAAAACAACCTACTTAAGAACAAACTTTTAGCTTTTAAACTAAAACTAACCATATTCGAAATACCTTTAATGTCCAGAGGTAACTTATTCCACAAAAGTGCCCCAGAATATCTAAAAGACCTACGACCATACATAGTTTTAAAACGACATAATGTAATATCCATGAGACTTTGCCTAGTTTTATAACAATGTTGCTCATATCTATATGCAGTACAATAAGGCCCCAGGGTCAGATGGTTTCTGTGTCGAGTTCTACAAAACGTTCTCCTCACAATTGACCTCACTGCTTATTAGCATGTTTAATTATTTTTATGAACAATCTGAATTATTATCAAGCCTCACAGATGCTCTCATTACAGTTTTCCTAAAGCCAGGCAAAGATGAACTAAATTGTAGCTCCTAAAACCTATTTCTCAATTAAATGTCCAAAATATTATCCCAAATACAATATATAATAGAATGTTATTTTGGTTTGGCCCAAATTTTAATCCCTGGATATGTCCACTGTATTTTTCATTTTCATTAATATTTCATGCTAGTACAGGAATGTGCCAAATACCTGAGGCAGCATCAGAACAGTGCTGCACCAGTTAGCTTTTCTTTTGTCGGAAGGACTTACTGTAGTATTTTATTTAACTTGAAATCTGCAGTGTTTTGGCTGTGGTATCATTGGTGTGTGCCAGCCTGTAGGGAGTCTGTGCAGCGCATATGGCTGTGCGTTCTCCTTTAACTGGCTGTTTTTAGAGCTCTGTTCTCACCAAATTGCATTTAACAAGCTCCACTGTGGATGCTGTGGCTCAGCTTAGTAAGTTGTTCACATTTTGCTCACAGATGACATAAACTTGGAATGTGTACAAACGTCCTTTGTATGTTGTGTTCACTTGAATTTGGCCAAGCAATCTAAATAACTACCAGGACTAGACACAATGTCACATTTAACCACTCAAACTCTCTCAGAATTTAACAGGCTGAATGATTTTTCAAATGGTATTTAGCACCAGTATACAGTATTGTTACATCAATATAAAATTCTACAGTCCATTGTTTATCGACACTTTCTCTCCCATTGGCAGACTATTTGTGAAGGCTCGTTGGAACTATGGATTCAGAAAGCACCGAACACTTTTGGGAAACACACCCCTGAATAGTTTGGATGAATATGAGATCGGATATTAACCCTGGACCAGGTGACCTTCCCTGGCACTGACAGAATTTTCCGGCAATCCGTGTTTTCACTGTTATACGGTAGGGGGTGCTATTACACATCTTCTGAAATAGTAAAGAATCTCTGGATCCAAAAACAAGCAAAGAAGACAGAAACAAGAGATTGTGCATATGTCAGCTACCGTGATCATCAAACATTAAATAACATAAATCATAACTGAATGAAACATTGATCCAGGAAGTGGTATAGGACTGTGAAGCTTTGGGAGTGTTGATGGATTCGATCTACTCTGTATATGTTTTGATCATCATCCTGAATCTGATCTGGACGTAGTCTTTGAAAAAAATATGTGAACATTGATTTTATTATTTTTTTAAACAAAACTTAAACAAAATTCAAATGTTGATTTAAAAAAAAAGAATGCATGAAGCTAGAATAAAAGGGTTTGTTTTGTTTAAAAGCAGAGGCTCTGTTATCGTGTGTTCAGATATTTATATAATAAAATATTCTGGGGTCTGTGAAAGATTTGCAAAAATGATCAAAAATGCTGGAGGGGAAATAAGTGTAAGTTACTAAGACTGGGGAAACAAGGAGTTAATAAGCAGGCAATATGATATACTATACGATAGAAGTCCACTTGTTCTTTTAATTTAAAATACAAAAAAGACAGAAAACATAAAAATGTATTTGTTTGACAGAAAATGTATGCATGCATGTTTGTTAGTTATTTTACTTTCTATTTGGAGTTGATTGAATGTTTGGGATTGTTATGTGGAATTTGATGAATGTGGCTTTAAGTACTTTTCAAACATGCCAGTTTAGGCAAAACCATAATACGAGTGTTTAGATGAGAGCTTCATCTTCAATTTAATAATACCAACTTTTTGGAAGACTATTCTGATATCTCTACTTTGAAAACAAACTTTGATTTGGGTGGGCTTGTTAAGGTCATTTCCTCTCATTTTGATGCGCTCTGAGAGCGATGAAATCCCAGCTTTCAGTCGGCCCACTCATTTGGATGATGCACAAATGAAAAACTCTCTGGAGGATTAAATTTAGCCATCCCTTTGAGGCTCTGTGTTCGTCAAGCGCTTCTGACACAGTGTAATGGTTTTCAATGAATAACACTTGATTAAAACAGAGCAACAAAGTAACTTTTGTATTTTCAGAAACTGCAAACTCTGGCCATGATGGAGCGTCATCAGCATATCTATGTTTTCTTAAAGGCATACGCACATTAAAGAAACTTGACGAAAAGAATGTAAGAAAGATTCAGAACAATGATTTTTAGTTCATATTTAGTTATAACATTGAATGACTTACAGTATGTGTGTTGTTTTGGCAGAAAGAGTTATATCTACAAACTGAAAAAACCTGAATGAGTAAATTTGATTTCTTTTATACTTATCTTTTCTCTTAATTAAGTTATAATACATTTTCAATTTAAACATTGAATGAAATATATTTATGCAATATGCTGTCCATCAATGTTCAGTTATTTTATTAAACACATTTTCAGTAATAATACTTCACTTCATTTAATCGTGCTGTTAAAAAATACTTAAAGTAAACATCACTCAGGAATTCAAATTAAAAATAGCATAGTATTTTATTAAGCATTACTTAAAAATTTTTTAGATCATGTCTTGTCCTAAATGCCCAGTTAAGTAAAAAGTGACTGGAGCAAGGAAAAATGCCCTCTTTTAAGGTTGTCTACACTGGACATATCAAA